TGACCAATCCCTACCGGACGTTTGAGAAAAATAGCTTCGTAGCTCATCGGATTTTTCCAGTATAAATAAATATTGTGATTCTGAATAACACATTTCGTGGATAATGATATTGGCCTTCGAAAACCTATCTTTTTTTTGCGAATTACCTTAAATAAATACGTACATAACCTATTAAATGCATGGACATCATCATAAAAGAAGAAAAATAATATTATAAATAAGCATCTCATCACTTTATCTCGTATTACATTCTCTCATCAATTTATCTCATCACCTTATCTCTCTCTCTTTCTAGATCCAGTCATGCAGAGTTCCAGATGCGATTCGTGGATAGCCAAAATCACCTGATAGCAAGTTTGCGAATAATGATGGCATTACGTACATCATTATTATTTCCCTTGAGTGTGTATTGGTCCCACCTGGTGTATTGGCTGGTCAAATAATCTGTGCCGGCTCACTTTTAGCTCAAACGCACCGGTTGCAGAATACAAATGGAACTTTGTGAAGTGACCGTTGGCACGATGCGCACGGAAATGGTAAAAAGAATGTTTTACGGCGCTGGAGTGCGCGAGCGTTGATCCATTTCAAGTGCCTTTTTATTTCACGTCCGTAACTCTTTATTCCCCGTCTCGCCGTACGCCAAGGGGGTCGGTCTTCACAGCGTCGCCGTTTGGCCCGCTGGTCAGAGCGCTCGACCCGCGACCGGAATGTTCCGAGTTCGAATCTCACCGAGAGGGATTTTCGTACCGGAAGGGTGCGGGCGGTGGGGTGGTCAGTGGGCCAAAAATCACCGCTACCATAGCAATGTAGAATTTCCACAACGGGAGTCTTTGAATGGAAACTGCTTGGCATTGATCACCTCGATGTCTGAACTGTAATCTGGTATAATGGGTAAAATAAAAAAACAAAAAAAGTACAGTAATACAATATAACTCGCGCACACCGCTTAGCATTGGACTTTAAACCGCACACGGTCTGTTGGCTGTGCTCCGTTTGCCTGGCATGCCACCCACCCCCCCATCATGCTCGGTTTGTGTTTAAGCACGGCCCATTTGTATTTAGCCAGAACCGGCGGAATGCTGCTCAATTGCTTGTGTCCTTGAACCGTTGCGCACGGCGGGCGGAAAATCGACGGCGAAGGTGCGAGCGCCGTTTGACATGAAGGGGCAACCGCAGCTGCACTTGCCGTGCTCCGTTTTGCCGCAGCGTCTTGGTACCAAGCGTCGTGCTGCTGGCCACTGACCCTCCCTCCCACCCTCCTCGTCTGCCGTGCAGGCCTTCACGGGTGCTACTCGCTAGCGGCACTTGATCCGATGGTCTGTTGAGGCCACAATGTAGGTCGTTTGGGATTTGATCGCGTCCGTGTGAATGCGTCGTTGATCCCGCCACCAGCGACGACACGGCCGGTTAGTAGTAAGGTTTGTCGCGTAAACACAACGTGCCGATGCTATGCTGGTACAGCACACCGGTGTGTTGGAGAACCTTCCTCGCTCGCTGGCTGTGTCGGCTGGTGGCGGGTTTAACGACGCATTCACAAAACTGACACCTTTTTTACGAGGAGTCGTGTTTGCATAGACCACAATACCTGCAGTCATAATGCAAACAAAAAACACAACTCTGATAATGTGTCAGTTTGTTGCCAGATAAAAGGGTTAAAAAAAACTATTATCATTTTTTACTGGCAAATGAGGTACCAATGGTGACGCATTCACACTTACGCGATCTAACCCAAAACAACCTATTATGGATGATATTAGTCGCGAAAGCTTAAGTGTTCGTCTATTAATGCTTCAGGGGGGATCTTTGTATTAGTGGTAGTGTAGCGGTTAGCGCACTGCATTGCGTACCCATCGACCCGGGTTTGATTTCGGTTCACGGTCCAACACTGGTGATGCTTATCTGAACCATTCCTGGGCCTCCCCTAGGTCGACTCGGCCTCAAATGAGTATCTGGTGCAGAGTGTAAAAACATCACCACTGGGGAGACGAAGGCGGTCGGGCGTGGTGCTGACCACCCAGCCCTTTGTGTGTCGTGGCGGCCTTCATAGCTGCGACTCGCTGACAGCACTTGCCCCAACAGTCTGTTAAGGCTACACGGGGGTTCTTTGTCTTTGTGTGTACGTGTATGCATCTTTGATAAGTACAACGCCGGTTCTTTAGTTTTCTTTCAAGCGAGTAAGTTGTTTTGCAAATCCTTAAGGGCGAGGATATGCTCCATTTATTTTGAAATGCCATAAAAAATGTATCCCTAGTGTGTGGTTTTTTTTGTATACACGGTATATATATCTCTTGGGTATGTTGGCAGAGGGATGCATTTTTTATCTATCTACTTACATGGGTGAATTGGCGCTTCATTTGAAAAAAGACTACTCGTCAGAGGCAGGTGTGGGTTTATACAAATGTATTGTTGTTGGTGATCACGTTGGTAATTATGCGCGACATATTGTTAACGCGAGCGTCCTATTGTTCATGATTATTACAGAGGGCTGAATACCGGAAAACTCCTCTTATCATCCACGTGGCTATCGTGGACCAAGATCGCGGATTCTACTATCTGCAATTTTACTCTTATCTGCAGCAGGGTAAAATATCGCGGATAGATGACCCCGTGGATAAATGGGAGTGATTTGCCGTGTAATTGCTCTCAGCCGCGAACGCATCCGCGAGCATTAGGAAGCTGATTCGCTGTGCATTATTGGTAAAATTGTGGATAATAGGAAATAATAGCCCCGTGAAACATAGGAGTTTGTGCCGATAGGAGTTGTGTATGATCGTGGCGCGGATCACCCGAGTTCTCCCGTAAAGTTAATATTTGTAATTTTTTTTTAAAGAAGAATAGGTTTTACCCTTTCTGGAAATTAAACAGGTGTTAATATCTCCAAAGACCAAATGGATACCTTTTGCAAGGAATCAAGTCTGCATTAACCACACTTGCGTGTGGTGAACATGCAAACATACATACTCTGATAATATTAGCATCGTCTTTAGAAACTAATTGGCCAACACCAGAATGTTTTGCCACAAGTACGTGTGGCTTATTATTTTATACATATATATTTTTGGTTATTTTCCTTTGACCACGTACATACGATCAATCGGATGCCAGAAACGACAGCTAGATATAAAGTACCAATACGCTTGCCGCTTTGTGGACTATGCAGAGCCATTTGTTTAGACGGAAATTGCAACCGTCCAAGCTGTCGCAAGCCAAGGTCCTGATGAAATAAATATTCTACGTCGTATATACGTAGATGCATGTCAAAGCTATCAAAACATTTCATATGGCTGCAACAGCTACACTGACATTGCACGGATGAAGTAACGATATATATATACGAACCGGCCGAGGAGGCAGGCGACGCTCCGACCAAAGCTAATTGTAGAAGCGTTCTTCGATATTTAACAAAAAAATGCAATTGCAGTGGGATTATCCGGCGGTGAATAGAGCATGGCTCTTGGCGATTAGTGATCTAATTATGTCCTTGCTCCAAGGGTGCGCAGCTGGCCTTGTCTCAGCTGCTGCGTGTGTACTGTTCACACAGTAGGCCAAAAAATTCTGCTGCAGATACACGTGTTTTTTTTTGGTGGGGAAGTGTTCGGGGTGGTTTGTTGCTGCAGGGGGGAGGGGTGGTGGCTGCACCTGAACCAGGATCTATTCTGCGGACGCGCGTTGTTTTTCGTGACAAATCGACCGTCGACAATTTGGCAAATCGCTTACAAGCCGCTGTGCGACGGCCGGCTGAAGGTGAGCCGTCGTTGATGAGCGCCGGGAGAACGACAGCGTGTCGCGATCTCTGGCGCCCGGTCAACGTCCGAAAAATACTTCCGCAGCCCGAGTTACCTGGGACGTCTCCGTTACTTGTGGAGGTTATTTTCGTTGTTGTTGTCACCCTCCCCTCCTCTCTTTGCCCCCTTTTGGAGAGCCGAGTGGTGTGTGCTTAGGCTTCTTGGATGCACGTGTGACGATGTTGCAGCGCGTTCCCCCGCCCCCCTGCCCCCCCGCCGTAACTTGACTAAAAACGTTCAACACGCGCAGCGGGGGGGTGCCTGTGAGAAACACAAAGGGGGTGACGCTGTGGCGAGATGTTAACTACCTCGCCTGGTACAAAGAAGGTCGTAGGTTTGATCCGGACCCCTCGGTTGTATATTGGGGTCTGCGTTTCTCCCCGTGGTGGTCGCTTGAATTGTTCTCCAGGTCCTCCGGAGGTTCCCTCCACATTTACCATCAACGTGAATTTAAAGTATTTGGCTGCTATATTTGTCCATGCAATAAGCCACTTTGTTGAGCTATCCTTTGTCATAGCGAGTTCTCTTCTGAAAAAGAGCTTGAGAGCTCATTGAGCTTTATCTGTTAAAATTTAAAATGCAATTTTAGTTCACAAATACCCCTTTGAATCTACGTATGTTGAACTTTTTTTGCACCGTCCGTAGCCACCAGCACTAATTGGAGGTAGACGACCCCGGTTTGTGGTGAGCTCCAACATCGTGTCGCCGTTACTAGCGTGATGAATCCGGACAAGTCGCTTGAACGGTCCGCGCCACATTCTTGATGCCAAGGCGACATATTAATGTTTATCTCGCAGCTACTGGATCATGTTTTACTCTTGTCATTGTTAAATTCATAAAGGCAAGGTCAAACTACCTCCCCTGCTCAAACGAGCAATGGGATAAGAGAGAAGAGCCCAGCTTGATCACGGGCAGCTGGAACCCAGATTTTCATCTGGACCTTGGGAGTGCCGGCACGGCTCGCCACTCTAACCAAAGGGGCACTGTGGGACGCTGGACCTTTCTTGAGCTGTTACTTTCTCCGGGTTAATTAGCATCTCGAAAACCTTTCGTGGTCGTTGAAAACAAACGACGACGATGACAACTTGCAAACGCGCACAGTTTCCCGAAAAGGTACTAAAACTCGAGCGCGACTCGGATGTGCGGAGCCGAACGCGCAGTGGTCATCGGTCGCTGATGATTATTCTGTTGTCGTTGTTGTCGTTCTTCTCGCAGGCCCTGCAGGGCACCTGGGAGGTCACGAAGCAGCTGGCCGGTGCGCCCCGCCGCACACCATGGATGGCTGGGAAACCACGAAGCCCACGCTGCCCGGAGAGATGTTGGTCTCCGCTGAGACGAACGGAGAACTTGTGGGCTCTGGTAAGAAGCGGCGGCCTCAAGGTGTTGCTCCGATTAAACCCCTTTCCCTCTCCCCTCCCTCTACCCCTGGTCTTCCCTCATCGTGTTGGTTCGATCCCCCGTTTTCCCATTTATTTTTAATCTTCACCGCCCCTCCCCCCAAAGCGAGGTCCCCGACTTTGTTGGGTCAGCAGGGGCCCCGCTTCCCCCGCCCCCTCGTTGCACCGGGGACAGTCGCAGGATGTTTGCGGTTCTCTGTCGGCGGAACCTCTTTTCGTGACGTTATCGGGCTCTCGCGTTTTGTAAATAAAAAACGGTGTCAGTCTGCGTGACTCCCCGCAGAGGAGATTTGTGCGTTGGGGGGGGGTGCTTGGGATGCCTGGCTAGACGATATCCCCCTTGACTGACATGGTGTAGGGGAGGACTTCATCCCGCAGTGGATTGACCACGGGGCCGTTGTTTGATCTGTTCACGTGACCCCCCCCCCGCCGCCGGCAGCCACTTCGAGGTGATGTATTCACCACGATGTAAAAAACGATATTCTGTTGAAATGAAAAAAAAATGAGATTCCGCGTCACGATAATTGTCTTACTTTGTCTTACTTTACTCATCGAAGAACGAATCTGATTCCACGTTAGCTGATGTTCTCGGTTCGGTTAGCAGTTCGAGCAAGCAGCTGTTGCTTGGTAGACATGCCATGCCTGACTTGGGTTCATTGTCGATGAAGTCAGCCTCGTCTAGAGAGCTCAGAAACGTGAGCTCAAACCGGCACGTGCAGCACATTGGAAAACGCGAAATGTTTTATGATGGCAGCACAAAAGAAAGGAGGGTTGACGTGGATGTAGTGCAACGACTATAATTTTTTAACTTTACAGCGAGGTGGTGGCTGAGCCCCAGGTGATTGCGTCGGGAGCAACGGAGCGAGCGGCGCATCGCTGTGAAGTGCGCCTCCTTGCTGTTTGTGAATCACGGGGTACCGAGCCGTTCCACCTTCCGTGGGACTGACCGCTCTGGAGCAGAGGTCGCAAACGGGTTTTGATTCCTTACCCGTACCCGGCCGCACCAGGGTCGCAAACGGGTACCCGTACCCGTACCCTACCCGTACCCGGCCAGGTACGGGTAGGGTACGGGTATCGGGTACCTGATTGCGACCTCTGGGATGAAGCCATGTTGCAATCGCGGGTGGGTTGATTCTAGGAACTTGAATTGTGAGAAGAGACAAGACGTTGGGAAATGAGTGACAAACGGTGACTCACCAGTGACTCACGGTCTACCCGTACCCGGCCCCACACCAGGGTCGCAAACGGGTACCCGTGCCCGTACCCGGCCGGGTACGGGTAGCCGGGTATCGGGTAGGGTACGGGTATCGGGTACCCGGTTGCGACCTCTGCTCTGGAGTGCGAGGTCACGTTTCGTCGTTGACCCTTGACATCGGACGAGCGAGCCTGGCGAACGTTACGTGCCGCTTGCGAGTGGAGTGAACTGAGCAAGTGGAAATTAAAAGACACGGAGCTTGGCAACTGGCGCTGTGAAGTATAAAATGGATGGTTACGTAACTTGACGGCAGATTATAAATAAGTTTGATCGGCAAAGTGGAGAGAAGCTCCCTTTGAAAATGTAATTTGGGAATGGGTTGACATCAAATGGGAGAACATGAAACTAAGACTGTGCGACTTTGTTAGACGCCATGGGGGATGGAGATTGAGAAGGTCACCGAGCTGGAACAATTAATCTTAATATCTTTCATTTTAATTTCTCTCAAGTCTTTTTTTAATTCAGTTTGTCTACTTTTTTTTTAAACTAGTTATAATTAAACTCAATTTCCATTTTTAGAAGTCTCACAGTGTGTCTCAACGGCTCGATGGAGCTCACATCATGTCACTTTTTGTTATTATTGTCATTGTTATCATGATTGTTATTATAATGATTCATCTTCTTGGTTCGTTCGGTAAAGTCACGTAGAAGGGAAATAACAAAATAACAAAAATTAAACATAATAAAACAAAATTCTCACGACGTTCTGGAAGCAAAACAACAAATGTAAATTTGAGTTTTTCTATGCGAAGTTATTTGTGAATGGCCTGAGGCCATCAAATCCCTACACTTGAAATCCCGGTTTAATCCACAGGTTGCCGTCCGGATTAAAGTGGTGTTGCTCTGGTTCGTGGTGGAATCGGATCGCCTTGCAGTCACCTTCTTACGAATAACCCCCCTCCCCCGCCAACTCAGTTTCAGCCTCTAATCTGCAAGTCAACAGATTCTGCTTGTTTGCATCTCTCACAAATGAATTTACATCTGGTGCCTGTTTCGTGATAAGTGAACACTGGCATGCACAGGAAATTGGGCATAACGCTATTGTTACAACCCAGTGATCCGGAGAAGATTGCACATTGTACAGCTCCTTTTCCGTCACGGGTACACGGAGTTCACGTGTATAGCACTTTTGTTGATCCACTGCTGGATGAGGGCTTTCGCTTGCTGTGCGAGTCGTGGTTGGCTGTCTGATCGCATATCGCTCCACTTGGTCAATGCTGGTTGGTGGAGGCGGAGAGCATGTGTGAGCGTAGATGTGCAGTACGATAATGGATGTTGCTGCTTCGCCCTCTGCTGCCCGCCATGGCCCCCACAGCCTGTACACAGTGGTCACCCAATTCTAGCACCATCCAGGCCAAACCCTAATTCGTGTCTGGGATCGGACATGGTTGAGTGGATTCTGGGTGATTTGTTCAATAGTTGGGAGCAGTAGAGGAGAGAGGTTCATGCCCCGCGCAATGGTCCCGGCGACCTGAGTTCGATTTCCGCTCCTGGCCAACAACACTGGCGAATTTCTGAACAGGTCCTGGGCCTCCCCTAGGTCTGGTGAGCTTCATAAGACTGGTGCAGTGCATGCAAACATAAGTATTGGGGAGATAAAGGTGGCCGGGTGTGGTGCTAGCCACACCATTGCGTGCCATGTTGACCATCATAGGTGCTCACTAACAGCACTTGCCCCAACAATCTGTTTAAGGCTTTTTGGGCGATGTTTGTCTTTGTCTTTTTAAATCCTTTATATTAAGTTCGCTTGCTTGCTTGCGCGCTTACGACCGTGCAAATCTTTCGGTCGTTTTTTAACCCACTTCCCGTGATCCAATCGAGCTGACATTTTGCACACAGACTCGTTGTGCGTGACAATTTATTTTCGTGAATTTTTTTTTTAAAATTTTTACACTTTTTAGGAAAAAGAAAATGTCATATTTCATTTAAAATACCAATGTGATAAAAATGAAACTCTTACTCAAGAAAAACAGAAATGAATAACAAAATAATACCGATGCCACGCATATAAAGGATTTACAGTGAAAAACTTTGTTTTTACGGGTTAATTTTTGCTAATCCAAATCATTTGCTGCTCAATCCTTGAACCAGTGGATGAAAATTCCACATTCCTATGATGGAGGATGAGTCCATGCTTGAGACGACGTGTGTTGACTCGCACCAAGTTGGCGTCAGTTTTATCCATCCGGGAGCAATAAAGTTCTCGAGTGGACTCCCCTGACCAGGAATTAAACTTTGCAACTTTCTGATCGCAAGCCAATGTCTGTAGCCAGTGTGCCGCCCCGGTGCTGGCATGTTGTATTCGGTGATGTGAAGTCGCGGCTGCTGTAAAAAAAAACTCGCATTTCAACAAGAGTGGACAAAAGGCATTTATTTTTAATCGAGAAACATGGTTTATTATTTGCACAATATGAGACCAATTCCATTTGCAAAGCCAAGTACGGCAGTAAAATGCAGCGTGTGGTGCAATTGAATGTTCTCCGGGGTGAGTAGTATGACCTTATTGAGTTGGGAGAAAATCCCATTATCACCGCGAAGCCCACCCATGCGAATGAACAACGGCGTTCACGAAATGCGTGACTTTTTATCATGGTTTAAGACTAGTTTAATGCATGTAACACACATTTTCGAACATAATGAAACAGGCCTTCGAGAAAATCCTTCTAAAATGAATTGAATGGCACCTTCATGGGCCATTACAGCTTTTTTTTATCAGTTCCTAACTACCAATTCACGTCTTATTATAAAATAATTATCTTCGCTTTGCTAAGGTTATCTCAGATCACAGCGAATTTTGGGCACCTAAACCACGTTTATTGATCATTAAAACTGCATACCATTCCGTGTTCTCATGTGTTTTATGCCATTTCTCTTTTTCCCCCCTCTTAATTTTTTAACAACTGCCAGTTGTTTATGTTTCCCTCATGTGATTAGTTGACCTCATTTTTGTTGTTTGTTTCCATATTATTTATTCAACCCACTGCCAAAAGGGCCTGCTCTCAATTGTATTAATTTTCTCATACTTTTTTCACCTTCCCCCCCCCCCCCCCCCCCCAACTTTAATTCAATAGTCCACACCGTGACCGTCACGATACGAAGAAATGGCCATCTGGTGCCACTTGGAACTCTGGAAGAGCAACTCCATTACCACTCCCGGTTAGAGAATCGTCCCGTGGGAAAACGGCCTCCCTGAGCTTTTATCCAAACTAAAGGGGCCCTTTGACCTTTGCTGCACGTGCCGCTTCGGGGTGACGTCCGTCGCATCGCGGTCGAACTGCCATCGTTCGTCCTTAGGGCTGTGCCGCCGCCACGTTAAGTGGAAAACCCCACAAAATTCAGTTGGGGGGAGGTCATTGCCGACGAGTCTGGCTGCTCGACGAACTTGAGAACCCAATTTGACCACGGGTCACTGAAGCCCACCGTCACGCCTGGGATCTTGGTGGTGCTTGCTCCTTGCTCTCACGCTCAACAACCATTGTTATGATGGTGAACATAGTTTGTTTTACGAAAAAAGTGCCACTTGGTAAAAAATAAATTGCATTCGGCCTCGAGTACAAATGGTTCACCTAAGTGATTGGATGCTGATGAGGCAATTGGAAAGTAATTGGTGAAAAATGGCAAGATGTCAAATCAAACGAGACAGCACTGTGTTCCCAAACTGAGTGGGGGCGGTTTTGGCATTTTCAGAACATTTTATGCTTTGCCTTCTTTAGAGTCTTGTGAACGCCACCACCACCACCCACCATTATAAACAAAATAAAACATAACAGCAATTGCTTGGTCAGCCTTCTACACCCCACCACTTGTTTAGATCTGCCAGAGGGAACTACCCATTAGGAACTGCAACCCTGTGGCCTAACTAGAGGCTCTCAAAACCACCACAAGTCCCGCATGGCTACAGGTTTTTGCTGACGAGGGAGACACAACCTTCCCCTTCTGCAAACAAACAGCAGCCGCAGATGACAGCTATGTATGCTGCGTGCACAAAACCGCAAACAAGCTCTCTGGCAGAGACAAAGATCCCTTCTGCACAGCCTCCGTCGGGTTTTGAGGAAACTGCTGTCTGCGAGCATCTAATAGGGCTGCGTGGCGCCCGACCACCTTTGTCTCTCCAGTGCTGATGTTTCCCCACCGGCTCCACCGCTCAATGCGGCCTTGGCCTAGGTCAGGCCCACGACCGTTACCGATGTTGGCCGTGAGCGGGAATTAAATCGAAACTCCGGGGGTCGGTGGGTTCGGGGCGTGGTGCGCCGACCCCCTGCACCGCCGCTCAATTCAACGACGTGGTCGCGCGTGCATGCGTGTGTGTGGATACACACGTGTGTGCGCGGCTACACATGCATGTGCGGCGACACTCGCTTGTGCGGCTACGCCGTTGTGGCTTGTGCTGCTCGCTTCACGAGGTAGGACGATGAGACAAATGTTTCCCAAGTGCGACATATTAAGACTTTCGTCGGTTACATACCCTCGAGGGCTTTGCGCGATGTGGCTCGTACCTTCGACACCAGCAGCTTGCAAAACACGAGTCGGGATTGCACAGAGGGAAGGGCGACCTGCGCGCGGCGGGTTCGGTGTTCGAGCACGGCGCTCGTCGCCCACGTTGGCACGCGTTTTATTTCCCGTTCCCGTGTGCGGTTGTGCCAACGCTTTAACCTTGCCGCGCGTGCCACCGGTCCATCGGCTGGCGATGTGGTGGGGGGGGGAAAGATCCTGAGAACCCAATGGGCGATGTTCGTAATCGCCCTGCCTCCCGCCACACCGAGCTGTTCTCGTTTTGACGGACCGGGTTTGGGCCGCCGCCTCTCCAGGTGTACGAGCCAACTCCTCACGCCAATTCGTGATCCCTTCTTTATTTCTTTGCACGAGGTTGGTTCGAGTTGGAACCCCTTTTGCCAATGAATGGTCACTCGCACAGCACACACATTCCCAATGAGTGCACAGCGATGCAGATGTATAGACAGCCTTGTTCTCTGGCCGCCGTGTTACTCCGCACGTGCGATCATTTTTGCTGTCCTTGTCATCAAGCATCCTCATCATCACCGTTATCTCCGCACTTATGTTTCATTCGGGTGGGGAAGCAGTGGCACAGTCGTTGACGCACTCTCGCACTGAGCTACGATTTGATTCCTGGCCCGTAGTTAACATTATTGGCGAGCGGTGTCTGAACTGGTCCAAAGTACACTGACTTCATCAACCCACATGGACCAGTTTGGCGAAGTATAGTCAAACAAACTCCACCCACCCCCCCCTGATAAGACGTGGCATGGGAAGGCTTTCATTTTGCACCATTATGTTAGAAAACAGCCGCAGAAAGAGATCATATAACAACTTGTGAGATCCTTCAATTGCCTCTAAGCTTCTCTCGGGGTGATGCACTTTCTTCAGCCTTCTTGCCTCGGCAGCGCAATGTGTCATTGTGGAGTGAATGGGATAATTATTGCAGCGCGGAGCCAAGCGTCGCCAGCGGTGATTTAGCAAAGAGTTGGGCCTCGGCCAGGGCGGAGGTCTCCGATGAGGGACGTGCGAGTGAAGCGGTTCAGACCTCGTCCCTGGGGATGCAGCGCTGTGTCTGGCGTGAGTGTTTTTTATTGAGGCCCACGCGAATCTTTCGTTAAGCGTTTGAACAAATGTGACCCAGTTTGCATTGCTGCCTCTCGCGCGTGCCCGCATTAGCCATGATCCAAAAGCATCTTCCAGATGCAGGGTTCTCGTGATCAACGGGGGCAGCCCTCCGACAAGTCGGGGGTGGTTGGGGGGGGCTGGTTGGGTTTGAGCCCCCAGCTGCTGAAGACCTCCCCCCCCCCTTCCCCCCACGTTTTAAACACTTATCATCCAAACTTGATTTGAAGCTTTCGTGACTGCAGGAATTACCCTTTGGTTCTTTCGGTAAAGTCACGTAGAAAGAAAATAAATGAAATAATAGAATACGACATTTCCATTGCAACACAAGCAGTCCTCATCAGGTAGAACTAAATGTGAGAGATAGACTAATCACAGACACGGAGATACACAGACAGACACGCAAGCAGAGAGAGACAACACAGAGACACACAGAGACACATAGAGAGAGACACACACAGAGACACACAGAGAGAGACACAACATAGACACATCAACACCAGTGGTGTGTTTTTTTTTACTCTGTTCGCCCGTTTGACATTTGTTTACCGTTGACTGTGTCGTGGCCACCCCGACGCCCCTCCCCCCCTCTGTCCACCCAGCAGTATAAATGGGTAACTCACAGTAAGCCGATGGTGGGGTAGAGTGTGGGTCACTCCCACTGCTTCCAAGACTTGCGGCTAGCGTGGGACGGCCGGCCTCTCTCTGTCTCATCGAGAGCTCCCCGCCCGTGTGTGGTGCGAGCGAGCAATTGCAGGGCTGCCCCTTTACCTTTGCATTTCAGTTCGCGGCAGGCACCGTTGCTGAGCTGCGTCTTTACCGTTACACCTTTGCGTTTGTAATTATTCACGCTCACGCAGCGCACTTGCGATGCAGCGTGTCTCATCACGATTGAACTCGAGACATCGTTACCCCCCCCACCACACCCCCAGGGCTAAGAGCTTTCAAAGATTCGCTTGTCGTTGAGAATAAGAGCTGACGCGCGTAACACCGTGTGGCTCGCGTTCTATATATTTTTTCCCCTCCCTATGGCGTACCGTCTGTGTGCGCGTACCGCACATCCCCTCGCGTGCTCAGAACGAGAGGGGAAGAGCCGCGTGTTCCGCCGCGGGGTGCCCCCGAACGCGAGCTGTGAACCCAACGGCGTTGTGTTCACTCTCGCATACAGAGCGCTCGCTAGGGCTTGTGAAGATTCGTTCGTTCGTGGTAATTATCCCCCTTTCCCGTTCTGAGACGTCTGCAAGTTGCAGGGTGGGTGTCCCGTTCACCGCTGAATCTCAGAACAGGCAAGCGGTTAGCATTAATTTTATTTAGAGAGGTGTTGCGCCGCTGTTTTTAAACACGTTGTACTCACCGCAGAGAACTGTAGCGACACAACCACACTGTGGTAGCTGGCGCCAAACTGCCACACTCCCTCGTGCATTGCCTTGTACGTCATCGGAACCGAGTCTGAAGAAAACCGGTGACGTAACACGTACACCATCGGAATGGAAAAGGGTTCAACTTCCCCTGTAATTGAAGCACTCCCTCTCCTTAACCTCCTTCCATTCCTCTCTTAAATCCTCACCTCTTCTCCATTGCCCATTCCCTTCCTCTTTCTTACCCTCACCCCTCCACTCCATCCCGTCCTTCCCCTGTAGCCCTTTCATGTCCCCAACGTGGCCTCTGTTACGGCCACTCATTCATCGGCCCTTACAAGCCATTGCCATCTAATTCACTCTGTTGTTGTTACCGCTTTTAAACCCTATTATCGAGCGCCTTGAGCTAAGGCGCCGTGAGCTAAGGCTCTCGACGTGAATGTAAAATGAGATGAGATGACAGAGTGAATGAGCGGGTGATGTCTATCTCTTTCTCGCGTAGCCGTTGACGCTGAATGAGACGCGTTGGCAGGTCGTGTGCAAGAGCACAGCTGACGGCGAAAAAAATAACAACACAACACACTCGCCAGTGACGCTGTGTGCGTGGCCTTAAACATGAATAAATATATAATCGGCGACGTTTCAGGCAATGGGCCTTTTTGAAAGCACATAAATAGGTGTGATGAAGAAGTGGGAATTGCCTTAAATATGACTACCTCCCCACAAATGCAGAAGAGTCAAGATGAGATGTAAAATCTTTTACGAGACGCAACAAATGATAGACCTTGGAGACAATCCAGACGTCGCAAATCAAAACATTCCAGGGGAGACGGTCCGAACGGGACCGTAGGAACGAGATTTAAAACTCGTAGTGGAATCGGAATATTTACTTATACCTGAGAAATCTGATGAGCTTTTTCACAGATGTCCAGTAGTTTTCACGAGAGCTACAGGGCGGCGAACGTGCACTTAGGCAAAGGCCGAGAATCGTAACACTTCTGTTGATTGTAGGGTGGAGATGGAGAAGCAACGCTAGATTCATGCCACAGAGAGAGGACTCTCTGTCTCTCCCGATTGAGCAGGGCAGTCCGTGCGAGTTGGCCCAACGACAGGGATGTGTTCACATTATTTGTCGACCAAACGGCAACAACAAACATCTATAAACATGCGTACAAAGTAGTTTGGCCTGCTTAATGAAATTCCCCCACCCACACACCTGCCCTCCCCCGCAGGGTCCCTGGCTGTGTGGAGCCTACGTGTTAAAGTATTTGGCTGCTATAAATTCCCCCACCCCCACCCCCCTCCCCCCGAAGGTTCCCTGGCTTGTGTGAGAAGTTGGGATTGTGCTGTGGATTGTCACTGAGTGGTCTCATTGCCTCCTTGCTGGTGCGAGGAGCTAAGAGTCTAGACCACGGCTCGGCAATCTGCTTCTCCGGAGCCGCGTGCGGCTCTTTGAGGACTGCTGCTTCGTGACGCGTTGTTTACTAAGTACCCACCGTCTCATATTCACCATACAATGCATCGCGGCTCTTGCAATGTTGAGTTTTTTTTAGAGGGAGAGAGTCTGCAGCTTCGTACGTCCCCAGTTGCCTGTTTATTTGGGATTGCGTCTCGAGTCGATTTCGTGGTGGTTGTATCGAAACGAGCGTCGCCGTTGATCGCCGGTGGTGGTTGTCTCGCCGCACAGATGAGGTGTGCAGTGCCGAGGAGGTCGAGTTTAACTGGGACGAATACCTGGAAGAGTGCGGCGCAACACCTGTCCCTCACACGGCCTTCAAGCACGTGAGTCTCCCCTGCTTCCGCCTCAACGCAACGCACCCTGATGTCATTTCACGCGCTGCGTCTGGATGAGTGGCACGGCGGTTAAGAGCGCATGACTCCCCCCCCCCCCCCCCTCCCGGCGCGTTGGGGAGGTCACGAGTTAAAATTCTTGTCAGGGAGATCGGCTCGCAAGCCCGTCATCTCTCCTGAAGTTTGCAAAACCGTTACAACTTTGTGGGAAGTCAATCGGTGGTTGTATCTGTGCATAGACTCGCACCCACCATGGGAATGTAGAATTTGCCAGGAAGGTCTTCCTAGCAGTATTATTGAAGGTTTGCAGCAGTGCGTGCTGGCGTTTTGATGCACCGTTTGGTTCAGGGCCCCCGTAGGGTTGCCTAGTGCCACAAACGTTCGTTATATCTGAGTAAAATTTCTATATATCCAGGCATGACCAAGAGGCGTGACGGCACATCTGAACCGTACCAGGATGGCATCTGGGCCTGTCCGGAGAGACGCCTGCGAACTTGACTCTCTTCTCGTGCATGAATTAGAACTTGGCCAGGCACTCGGTGAGACATCTACCGGCAGGGAGCTGCCGTGGTCTAACGGTCGGCACACCAGACTTGCAATCCAAGTCCAGGTTGCCGGATCGATTCCGTCTCCTGGTGCCGCAGTTAAAACTATGGGGGGGCTGAGCGTCTCAAATTACCCCCCCCCCCCGCCGCCTCTGTCCATTGAGCGGCGTAATTGGGTTAGACCACGGTTAGTCAATGGGCAGGTCGCGTGCGTGGCGGCGCGGTCCAGCGTGGGGTGCCGCCGACTCTTCCAAGACATCTGTTCGGCGTGGAAGAGGCCTTTCTGCCAGCAGTGGCGCGAGCGAGCAGCTGCAGCGCGTTCCGCTTGTGCCCTCGTTTACCCTTGCGCCTACCAACACTCGCTTGCCGCTTGCGGGACACCCAACCAACCAAGCCCTCGAGCCAGGCCCCGTCCATTCATGGAGAGGGGGATGGGGGGGGGTGAGGGGTGAGGAAACGATGCGGTGTCCGACGGCGCGCGACGGACCCCCTTCGCAGGTGGAGCGGAGCCTGCAGAGCGGCTTCGCCGCCGGGATGAAGTTCGAGGTGAGGAACCGCGGGGGGACGGGCACCTACTGGGTGGCCGAGGTGGTGACCACGTGCGGGCAGCTGCTGCTGCTGCGCTACGCCGGCTACTGCGCCGACCGGAGCGCCGACTTCTGGTGCGACGTGCGCACCGCCGACCTGCATCCCGTCGGGTGGTGTGCACTCACCGGCAACGAGCTGCAGCCGCCCGAGGGTGAGGTCCTCGCACGCGTGTGTGTGTGCGTGCGTGTGCTTGCGTGTGCTTGCGTGTGCTTGCGTGTGTTTGCGCGCGTGTGTGCACGTGTGTGCTTGCTTGTGCTTGTGCGCGTGTGCGTGTGTGCTTGTGTCTTTTCGTGAGCACTTGTGTGTGTGTGCACTCGCTAACAGCACTTGCCCCAACAGTTTGTTAAGGCTATATGGGGTGGGGGGGAGTCTTTGTGTGTGTGTGAGCACGTGTTGGGTGTGTGGGGAGCGGTCACGTAGCGGTTACGAATCTGGCGGCTCGAGTTCGATGGTTATCTGACCCGTCCGGTCAGCATTAAATGTTTTACCCTGGTGTGGTGTGTGAAAACATCAGCATTGGGGAGACGAAGGGTGTGAGGGTCGGCGCTTGCTGTCCGAATAGTGACCCAACCAGAGAGAATTGTAGCCGATTTGGCTCTTCTCGCAAACTGGCTGTGTGCCAATTAATTTATTGGCTGTTGTCCGACGATCGGGAAGAAAAATCTGAACAGTCGCACGGGAGTTCTGTTCGAGCGCGGTCTCGGTTTGTCCGCGTTGTCCAACAGCCATCAAGGAGAAGTACAAAGACTGGGGTGCATTCCTCATCAAGACGCTGACGGGTGCGAGGACGGCTCCATCCAGCCTCCTGGAAGGGGTGAGAGCCCCACCACCCCCATCCCTCTGCGTTGCCGCCACGCGCGAGATGTTTACTCGCTTAAGCCGTTTCCTTTTTTGCTGCGTCCATGCCGTCGTCCAGCGGTCTCAGCCGAGTTTCATCTGAACGGAACTTTTTTTTTAATAAAAAAAATTTTGAACAGTAGACCAGCGCAGGCCCAAATGCCCATTATTGACAATGACAAAACAGCATGATCATCAAAGTTGTTCTAGATGAGATTGTTTACAGGTATCGTGAGATTATCATTATTGTTGTTGTTATAAGAGCTTGGGAAAACGAGACCATGGAAGGGAAAATGCAGACGTAGAAGTGTCTTTACCTGCCGTGTGGTGGTTGAGATACATAATCAGCTTGGGAATCAAATTGTGTGGACTTACAGGAGGCCCAGGTACAAATGAGTATTTGGTGCGGTGTGTAGTAAAACATCGCCACTGGGGAGACAAAGGCGGCCGGGCGTGGTGCCAGACACTCACCCACTCGTGTGCCGTGCCGACCTTCATAGGTCCTGCTCGCTAACGGCACTCGGTGGGGTGTGGGGTGTTGTCTCTTTGCCTTCGTGTTTTGCACAGCCGAACCGAGGGAAGCCGCCGATGGAGCTGATCGTCCCGGGCTCCGTGCTGGAGCTATTCGACGACCGGGGGGACTTCGTGCCCCCACCAGCACCCCCACCTGGCGCGCCCCCACCCGCAGAGCCCCTCCCCAACCGCCACGCTGCTGGCCAGTCCTGGTCACGCACAACGTGGGGGGGCGGCTGAGGCTGCGCTACTGCGGCCTGGGCGAGCTGCACGGCGGGAAAGTACGACCGGTGGCTATTCTACCTGCACCCGCGCCTGCACCCCCTGGGCTGGGCACAGCGCAGCCAGTGCGTGCTGGAGCCTCCCGCAGGTGACGCGGCAAACGACGCCGGGATGGGTTCGCGGCCTCTGGGTTCCGTGCTGGACTAGCGGCGAGTGGCTCGCTTTAACGCGCCGTGGTGCTCGCGCGGCGAGGCGTTTTCGCGGATAGGGGCACGCCGTTTATAACGGGGAATTCCGCACCGTTATAACAGAGAACTGCCCACCGTATTAATGGGGAACGCCCCACCGTTACAGTGCAGAATGCACGTCGTTGTAACGTGGAACGTTTCGCCGTTATAACGAAGGACTCCCCACCGTTATAACGTGGAACGCCGCACCGTTACAGTGCAGAATGCACATCGTTGCACATTGCTTAACGCAGTTTTTTCTTAACGTGGCAACTATCGGGAACGCATCTGCCGCGTGAAACGAGAGATTACTGCGTAAACAATGAAAAATGTTTTAACTTCCATAGCTAGTGCGATTATCTGTATTTGTTTATTGGGGGTTAGGCCACGTGATTATTGCGTTTACAAAGATTTTTTTTCTTCATTGCCGATGCGTTGATCAAATCTGCCACCAAGTTTGTGTTGCGATGAACATAATAATACATTGCGGCTGATTGATCGATACTGTTCCTGTTCGTTTCCCTGCGCAGCCATCAAGACGATGAAGTCTGAGCAGGAGTGGAAGTCCGTCCTTTGCTCTGTGTACGAGAAGAAAGAGCCGCTCCTGTCACCAGAGATCTTTAAAGTAAGTGCGCGCACACAAAGATCCCCGTGGAGCCTTTAACAGACTGTTGGGGCAGGTGCTGTTAGCGAGCAGCACCTATGAAGGCTGGAACAGCACCCGAGGGGGTGGGTGGCCAAGACCACGCTCGGCCGCCTTTGGTAGTGTTTGTACACACCGCACCAGGTACTCGTTTGCAGTTGATTCGACGTAGGGGAGGCCCAGGACTGGTTCAGATAATCGTCACTGGTTTTAGCCGTGGGTGGGAATCGAACTCGGGTCGCCGGGTTTGGAGCGCAGTGCGCTCACCATTACGCTACCGCTCCCAACGCGCACACACACACACACACGATGGCCGAGCGTGGTTCTGGCCACCCACCCTCTCGTGTGCCGTGCCGGCCTTTTAACGGTGCTATTCGCTAACAACACTTGCCCCAAGAGTCTGTTAAGGCTATACGTGGGTCGGGGGGTGCCAACTTTGTCTTTGTGTCTGAAGGAGCGTGCCGAGGTGCGGAGCCACCGTCTCGTGCCGGGCATGAAGCTGGAGGCCGTGCACCCCGCCAGCCCTTTCTGCATCTCCCCAGCCACGGTCGCCACGGTATGAGCCGCCCCAAGCGTGTGACGGTGGTCGGGCAGTGGAAAAGTCAAGTCCGACGATATTCCCCTCCCCCCACCCCAAACCCACCACCACCGTATTCCACGACACGGCGGAGCGGCGGGCGCGTTCGCCGCTCGTTGCAGAGGTTCGCGGTTCGAGCCCGTTAGGCTGCCCTGGTTAATACTGCGGACGTATTAACCAAAACATAATCATCTCTGTCTGCTTCACAGTGGATGTTTAAAGTAAAACAGTAAAAGTTAGCCATATGTGCCTGTGTCAGGATCTAAAATTGGCCAAACTCTACTGTCGGCGGCCTACGGCCAACTTATTCTAGCTCCTGCCGAAGACTTTGGGCACTTGACGCCTCGCCCGTCGCCCCCACTACTCACTCACTGTACTTTTTTGGGGTGTGTGGGGACGACAATTTTTGGAAACCTGTTGGATCAACTTTTTACCCCCGCATCTGGCACGGGGGGGGGGGGGTCCAGTTTCTTAAAATTTCTCATTCAGGCCTTTTGAAAGGCTCTCATAATTTAGTTGACGGACAAGCGGAATGCCATGCTTTTATAATACCAAATTATCTAATTGGATAAACCCACATAACGACATTGCTCCCTCGACTGTGAAGCTACTGCAGACTGTTTGCATGTGGAACATTGCACCTTTCGTGATAGCCTGGGGCTATGACAATGGCGCGATTACCAATTCTACTCGTGATTTGCATTTGTTTCGAGAGAGACAGAGGGAGGAGAGTCTGAAGAGCCGGTTGATTTGCGAGAGATGGGCGGAGAAGGGTAGAAAACGAGTCAGTAACAGTGCTTGCATCTCTCACTTATCTCTCCAGGAAAAGCCACATTTGAGTATTGAATTGTGCTGCTTGAAATGTTGGTTAATACGAACACTTGAGTGGACCTGGAGAGATGCACAAATATGGGTTAGCACGCTAAAATACGAACGGATAAGTCGGCAACCCAGAGGTCACGTCCACCGTGACCTCTGTGGCCCACACCACCTCGCCTCCAAATTGCTGGATTCCAGGTGTGATGATCGCAATGCTAAACATAATAATAATATATCCTCCAACATTTTTTTTCTTCTATGACCAATTATACCACCTCATTGGTTCTGAGCCATGCGATCATTTTCGGCGACTATGGCCCATCCACTGCTGGGGTGAACGTCTCGCCAATGCCGGCGCCGCCTTCTCCGTCAAGCCACGTGACTTGCGGGGATTGAAGTTGGGGACGCATGAAAATGTATTGGCGCACGCCGAGAACAAGCGGCTTTCGTGCCTCGTGAAAAAATACTCATCAGTGCAAAATTCCCCCGAGGGGCCTCCACAAATGGGAAAACCCAAGCTGTTGTACCGAGCTGCTTGAGAGAACGTCGGAACTGGATTTTGGTTAAAAATGCCGCTTTAACACCACAGCGTCTGGTGCAATCGAGCGCCCATTAGAGTTTGAGGGTGATTCAATTTTTCATCGACTATATTTTCTCATCAGCCACTATAGCAGCAGCCCCTCCCCCCTTATAAACGAGTAAGTGGAATCTCAATAAAGTCACCGGCATGTGACATGGTGAGTGTCCTCTTGGCAGAGCTGACAACGAGGGAGCTGCACGCATTAAATATATCTGAATTTAAACCACGATATCCTGCCACTCTGTACTCTTGGATGTTTGCCATCCAGGCTGCTTGGCTGGATATTCTTGTCTTCTTCCCCCCCCCCCCCAATTGCATACCGATTGTGCCACCTGCGTCACCTCGTGAATAAAAAAAACATCTCCATTCGGAACTCTCACAGCGATGAGCGCTTCATCAACTCGTGCATCACTCAGATGGGCTCGTGTACGTGAACCCCGCAAGCAGCTGCGTGCATGCATATGCCGTGTATGCGTGCGCCTTGCGATTGCGTGCGCACGATCGCTCCCGCGTGTGTTCCCGCTGCGCTACAAACCCCGCGACCAGAGTTCCATACCCACTCACGGTCAACAACAACAGTGACGATTATCCGAGCTGATCCCGGCCCTCCCCAAGGTCAACTCATTCTGAAATAAGTACCTGGTGCGGTGTGCAGTGAACATCACCACGAGGGAGACAGAGGTGACCTTCCTATATAGCCGCTGCTTCTCGCTAACAGCACTTGTCCCAACAGTCTGTCGAGGCTATATCGGGGGACCTTTGTCTTTTGCCCGCCCCCGTGCAGGTGCTGAGCGATAAGTACTTCGTGGTGGTGGTGGACGAGCCGCGGGCGAGCAGAGCCGCGGGGCTCGACGCGATCGCCTGCCTCGGCGCGTCCGGCGGCGGGGGCGGCGGCACCGTGGCGGTGCGGCGACACGGATCGGCCGGAGGGCTCGAGGCCGCGGGGGCGCCGTTCGTGTGCCACGCCGACAGCCCCAGCATCCTGCCCGTGCAGTGGAGCCTCAAGAACGGCGCCACCCTCGAGCCTCCGCAAGGTCCGACTCTCGCATAGTGGTCGTTAGTAGTAATGAGGATAATAACGAATCGATGTGCTTATTATGTTTTAATTTTTTTACAAAACGCGAGCCCATTACAGCCCGTCACACGGGAGTCGAAGATCGCAGGGACTCGTCCCGACGCAGCTGAGCCGTATGGGGGAGGAGGTGGGGGAGCTCGGTGTTGCCCCACGTCGGGGAGAAGTTGAACATTTAAATGGAGGGGAGAGGGGATGGTGGGATGACGAGGGAGGGGAAGTTCGACGTGCTTCTTGAATTGAGGAAGGTTTTTTTTTTTTTTAAAGATCTTGGGAGAGAGAATCGGTGATGTTAGTAGTCTCCTTGGCTGTGGTGGCTGTTGCACGGCTGTAATCCAGTGCTTTGGAGGAGACGGGAGTTTTTGGATCATTGCAGTCGTGCGAGACGTCCAATCTTGCCGAGCTGCAAGATGTGGCCGAGAGATGGCAATAGAGCAAAGTGGTTTTGTGAATAAAAGTGTGCAGGTATTCGAGTGGCACCTGCTCGCATGCATGTCATGCACTCAATGTAGGAACCAGCTGATTTAGAGGGAAGCTTTCCTCGGCAAATGATTGGCCTTTGGCATTTTAAATTTGTCGTGTTTTGACGCTGTTTTCAGTCGTGTTTGTTAACAAAACGAATTGACATTATTTTTAATGATTGAAACTAATTTCTCAAAGTCCAGAAAATAAATACACAAATACCAGACCTAACCCCCAGTGCCCTCTGAACGTTCCCACAGTAGTCCCAAGTGACAATGAAGTGATGTGTGCCCGGGTGTGGGTAGCAAAGACAAAGAGCATTGTTTTCTGGGCAAGGATTAGATCCTTGGAACATCATTTTATCCAGTGCCTTTTCATCTTGAGAAGACCACGCGTAAAAATCACAGCTTTGTCAAGTTCAATCATTGCTCTATTCAGACTTTCCTATCAAGCATCGCATCTCGTTGCACACAGTTTTTTTAAAATATTATTATAATCCATAATGAAGTTTTTTTTGGGTCAGATTGTGTAAATATAAATGTGTCGTTAAACCTGCCACCACCCGACACAGTCAATCGGTAAGATTTGTCACAAACCAAAACGTGCCAGTTAGTATAAACCCACACCATTTACACTTGGGGTACTGCGATGTTTCGCTGGCGATTGCAACCAGTCCTCATCAGGCGATATTAAAACAACTCTTGTTATCGACGTTGTCCCTGCTGCGTTCGTTGGCTGTAACGTGAACTCCGGCTCTCCCCCCCCCCTCCTCAGGCTTCAGCAGCCACGACTTTGACTGGGCTGAGTACCTGAAGGTCTGCGGTGCCGAGCCAGCGCCACTCCACCGCTTCCCTGCCGTGAGTCCCTCCCAGCCGAGCGCGGCCGCGTCGCCATGCCATGCCATCACAGCCGTTTAAAATCTCTTCCCTCGGGAATTTGCCAAATTCACGAATCGTTTTAACAACGCAAAAACGGCCAACACGGCACCACTACTCCCGTGGCGGTGACGGAGTTGGCGCCGATTTCGTTGGTGGTGGTGGTGTTGTCTTTTGGGAATGCCCCTGTTAATAGCGGAGCTCGTAACGGTGCCGATCTATCGGGTTAGCGCTGCATGGGGTTTTTGCCGCGGTTGACGACACCGCTACTGCTACCGCTCTCGCCAAGACGAATGGGCGCCCGTGACACGCCGTGCCCACCGTGCCCGTGACGTGCCCTGCTTGTGTGCCCCGCTTGTGGATGCGGATGGATGGCGCAGGAGCACGAGTTCCAGGAAGGCATGAGGCTGGAGGCGGCCAATCCTCTGCAGCCGTCTGAGATCTGCGTGGCTTCCGTGGTGCGCGTGCGCGGGAGGCTTGTCTGGCTGCGTTTGGAAGGTGCGTCGATCGATCTGCCCCTCGCAAAGCATCAGCCAGGGGCTGTCACACAGCCTAACCCGGCACACGACTCACACACATGCAAAGACAAAGGTCTTCCCCGTATTGCCTTCACAGACTGTTGAGGCAAGAGCTCGCATTCATTATTGCACCATCTGTAACTGTCCTTGTAGTTAATCACAGTTTCTGTCTTTTGCCACATATTCACGTCCGGGTGCATTCGATCATTCTCACGTTTCGTTGCTGCTAAGCGGCATCACCGTAAGCCAAGATCTTCACATTGATGGTTGAAGTCCCCGCACCTCCCATTGGTCTCCGCACCTCCTATTAGCACGGTTGGCTACGTACGGTGCGTAAGAAGTTCTACAGACATACATATGTTCCCCACGCCACGGCTATATCTCTCGGTCTTGTAATGCAACAATCTATCCAGCACCTGCGCACAAGCCGAGCTCGTCGCTTCTTCTCCATGATGGAGAGGCCGTCGGTCAAAGGCAGACGAACAGAAGGTCCTGTGCCTGGTCTTGGTGCTTGGTGGAATATTTGTAAGTTTTGCATACCTGGGGCGCCGCCGTGGTGGGACGATAACCCTCTCGCCTGGTACGCAGGAGGTCGTGGGTTCGATCCCGACCCTGACGCCTGCCGAATTTGCATTTTCTCCTTGTGGTCATGTGGATTTTTCTCCGGGTCCTCCGGGTTTTCCCTCCACATTTAGAATCACCATGCCTTTAGAGCATTTGGCTGCTATAAGTTTCCACGTGATAAGCCGCCTTCGTTAAAGCTATTATTTGTGGGCAGGTCGCTTCTGTAAAAAGAGCTATGTAGCTCAAGTGGGCCTTACGTGGTCCTGGTAAAATAAAAAATAAATTGTTTAGTTTTAGTAGTCGTAGTTTACCTGTGACCGTGTCGCTACCCAGGTCTGAAGAATCCTCTACCAGACTGCATTGTGGACGTGGAGTCTATGGACATCTTCCCGGTGGGCTGGTGTGAAACCAACGGCTACCCCCTGTGCTTGCCCACCAAGGCCATCTGTAAGCTTCCCTGCCGCTCGCCTCCCTCTCCCATCCTTCTTCTTCCCATACCCCTCCCCTGCTCCCCTACCCCCTATTGTGCGTCCGAAGTTACTTGACAAAGAGCTGCGCAGAATAAAACAACGCAGCGCCTGTGGTTTGCCGCCTGTAGACAACGTAATTAACGGCCGCGGATTGATTAGCCGCGACTCTGTGACTCGCACGAGCTGCGAGGGCAGAAAATGTATGCGGAAGGGGTACGCGCGGGCTGTGGCAGGCTGTTACGGGCTGTCTGGGCTGTGCGGGCTGTTACGTGTCGTTACGTGCTGTTACGGGCTGTTACGGGCTGTTGCGGGCTGTTGCGGGCTGTCTGGGCTGTACGGGCTGTCTGGGCTGTTGTTAGCCCATGCGGCACAGGCTCATCCCCCCCCCCCCCCCCGTAAGCGCTGCAAATGAGAATAAATGAACTGCGGACGCGTCGGCCGGCAGGAATTCACCGTCGCGGTCGCTTGTAGAGGCGTCTCCCATTGAGCGCCTGTGAGCGTGTTGATTTGCACGCCGAGCGAGCGAGCGCCCGCTCACCCCCTGTGTTGTCTCTTGTATTTGCAGTCCCAGCTCAGAAAAAGATTGCCGTCGTACAGCCGGAGAAACAGTAAGTGGCCGCTTCTCCAGCTCGCCACGGCTTCCGCATCACCTGGCGTTGAGGCTGCAACCGTGCGGCGGAATTCGCATTTATATTCACGCGGAATGTGCAAGTCTTCCCAAGACCATTAAAAGTCCTGATTTTTTGTCGGTTGCCTTGCAGTGAGGACGATAGTAATATAGTACTGCTACATAACACCGCTCAAGACAATGCGTTTGCACTTGAACATATTATTTGCTGCTGCATTGGCAGGGGCGCGCAAGTGCAGTTCACGAAACACTCGATGAATCTGTCAATAACGCTGCCTTGAAAGGAAACAATGTATATATACGCAGCAGGTGTCATTTTTGGCAATGGCCCTTTCACATGAAGAAGGTCCTTTGCCTGAAACGTCGTAATTCACACGCAGTTTTTCCCTCCTCCCGCGAGTGTCCCACTCAACGGTAGGGAGGGGCGGGGGAGGGGCGGGGGGAGGGGTGTGGGGAGGGGCGGGGAGGGGCGGGGGGGGGCGGGGGAGGGGCGGGGGAGGGGCGGGGGGAGGGGTGTGGGGAGGGGCGGGGGGAGGGGTGTGGGGAGGGGCGGGGGGAGGGGTGTGGGGAGGGGCGGGGGGAGGGGTGTGGGGAGGGGCGGGGGAGGGGCGGGGGAGGGGCGGGGGAGGGGCGGGGGGAGGGGCGGGGGAGGGGTGTGGGGAGGGGCGGGGGAGGGGCGGGGGAGGGGCGGGGGAGGGGCGGGGGAGGGGCGGGGAGGGCGGGGGAGGGGCGGGGGAGGGGCGGGGGAGGGGCGAGGGAGGGGTGTGGGGAGGGGTGTGGGGAGGGGCGGGGGCGGGGGAGGGGCGGGGGAGGGGCGGGGGGATCCGGGTGGCGGTGGTAGTTGTGGATTGACGCTGCTCGTCGTCACTTAAGCAGCACCGCTGTGGCGGGGTAGTCATCGGCGGGTGTCCAATGGAGAGACTCGCCCTCGCCACAGGAATGTGGAATGTCCACCGCTGCCGCTCAGGGCTGTGTGCAAGGAGATGAGCACCCGCGCATTGTACATTTTGAGAAAGAAATCACTCTGACTTTTGGTATATCCTGGGTTTTTGTGTTTGAGAGGTGGCAACCCTCCCAACCTCGACTGCCTGCACTCATAAGGGGTCAGGCGGTGGTCTGACATCTCCAGTTTCCCCCGTGCGGACACGCGCCAACTCGGCTACCGGCTCCGCGCAAATCCCCCGGCCAAGAGACTTGCAGCGTGGACGTGAGAATGGGGATTAAGACTCCCCACTGCTCAAAGGAAGCTTTGCTTCTGCGTAGTCTCCACGGGGGGTGGGGGGGTACTGACCCATGAAGGGATCACGGGCATGTAATGTGAACGGTGTGTCGCGGACTGAACGGCGCGCGTGAGGCCACGTGTGTACGTGTGTCGAACTTGTTTCGCACCGTACGTTACCCAACCGTGCTAGTCGGAGGTGTACATTGAACTGTGCATGTGAGAATAGATGATGTTCCTGTGTGCTTTGTGCAATAGTTTTGGGTGACCCTTGCAGCCACTGAAAGTGCTATCAATGATTGCAATTAATTAACAAATTGAATCTTTGAACATCAAATCAAGCATATCTACATTGCGACATAACTGACATCATCATCATACACACATTTTCCACTGCTGGATGAAAACCTCTCCCATGCCATCACCATCTTTCTATCTCATCGCTCCATCTCTGTGGTGCTTTCATCTCGGGTGACTTTTTTCTTCGTCTGATATTCCTTCACCAGTCTCGCCCATTTCGCCATCACCCCCCTTCTATTGAGATAGCCTGCCAACAATGCCCGCTCTTGCTTGTCTATGATTAACTTAAACAAAGGCAATCTCTCATTGTAAAATCAACCACATTTTTGTTAATCAGCCTCTATCGGCTTTCTGGACCAATGGTTTCAGATCGCATTTGTTTATGCAGCCAAACTCTAGCCAAGAGCCTCTTCAGCAAAATCAGACTCATCCTCGCTTTAACACATGCTCCTGGAAGTCCATAATCTCATGTACAAATGAGTTATTTTAACTTTGTACCTGGCGAGAGATGTCTGACTTTCTTGTACGATTATTTATTGATATCGTTATAGGCCAAAGTCCCGTACTTACGGTGCATAACAAGTCCTTTGGTGTTCTGGCAAAGAGCTATGTTATAACTCTGTGCTTCCAACCTTGTCGCATGGTTTACCCTGCGACTGATAGTGTTGCGTTAAACGTTACTGTCCAGTATTTGCTGTCGTGTTCTGTGTAGCCTCTGGTCTGTTGGCACACTTGTTGACTTGGGCAATGTGTTTTGTTTTTATTTTTTGCAGGTTACCCATTAGCGTGGCTACGGAAGACGAGCCAAAGGCCCAAGACCTGACGGTTCACGCGTCAGACACGGGTAGCCGCTTTTGTTTCTGTCAGTGTGTCTTTGTGCAAGCGTATTGACATCTGCGTCTGTGTGTTTGTCCTTGTGCTTACGCGTGCATCTCTGTGGGGATGTATCTGTACGGAAAGCAAGTGCGGCGGTTAGCGTCGCGCTGCGGTGCGAAACCCACCAACCCGAGTTTTATTCCCGCTCGTGGCCAACACCCAGTGGCGATTATCTGAACCGGTCCTGCGCCCTCCCCTAGGTCGACTCAGCCTCAAATGTGTACCTGGTGCAGTGTGTAAACATCGCCACTAGGGAGACGAAGGCGGCCGGGTGTGGTGCTGGCCACCCACCCCCTCGTGTGCTGTGCCGGCCTTCATAGGTGCTCGCTAACAGCACTTGCCCCTAACAGTCTGTTCAGGCTATACGGGGAATCTTTGTCTTTGTCTGCCGGCCTTGATTGGTGCTCACCATGTCTTTGTATGTTGAAATTCTTCCGCGCCGTACGTAGGCAACCGTGTTACTCGGAGGTGCTAATCGCGAATGCTAATCGAGGGAATCGATTGTCCTGTGCGCAGGCACCGGGATTGGCAAGTACTGCTGCCCTCGGATTTTCTTCAACCACCGCTGCTTCTCGGGCCGCTACCTGAACAAGGGCCGCATCGCTGAGCTTCCGCAGTCCGTGGGTCCTGGCAACTGCGTAGCCGTGCTACGGGAGGTGCGTCCACGCGCAGACACGATCGTCGCCGGCTCACCACGGCGCCCGCACACGTGTGCGTCGTAGAGGAGCGGTAGCGTAGCGGTTATGTTTGTATGTTGAACTTCTTTCGCACCCTACGTAGCCAACCACGCTAATTGGAGGTGCGGTTAGTGCTACGCTACGAACCTGGCGAACCGAGTTCGATTCCCCACTCACGGCCAACACCGGTGACGATCATCTGAACCGGTCCTTGGCCTCCCCGAGGTCGGCGGTTTGGAAATGTCACCAATAGTGAGACAAAGACGACCGGGCGTGATGCTGGCCACCCACCCCTTCGTGTGCCGTGTCGGCCTTCATGTGCGCTCGCTGACAGCACTTGACCCTACAGTCTGTTGAAGCTATAATGGGGGGGATCTTTCTCTTGTCATGGGAACCTAGCCTGGCACAAGCGCAGTGGTGACATCACCGTCACTTCGTGGCGTATATGGCTGTTACTATAATTTGTGGCCAGGTCGCTTCTGAAAAATGGCTACATAGCTCGGTGGGCATTACCTGGTAAAATATTAATAGTTTCATAGTTTAGTTTAATCGCACTACGGCTGAACAATTGGTCAGGGGGAGGGAGTAGAGAAGGAGTAGGGAAGGAGGGATGGGGAGGGGGGGGATGGGGTGGTATGGGGTGGGGGAATGGGGAGGGGGTTGTGGGGGGAGGGGGTGTGGGGGGCTATGGGGTGGGGGGGAGAGGGGGGCGACACTTCTTGCCTTGGAGAGCTCCCCAATGGAACGTGACGGGAAAGATGGTGCCTCTACAAAGCTGGGGGGGGGGGCGGGGGTGGTCGTTGCCGTGGCGACCGGTTCCCCTGGGCGTGCCGGGGCTTGAGCGGGCGGTGGTGGTGGTGGTGCGGTGTGACAGGCGCTGTCCCTGCTGATCAACGCTGCCTACAAGCCGAGCCGCATGCTGCGCGAGGTGCAGCACAACGGAGAGGGGCGCTGGGGCGGACACAAGGAGACGCTCAAAGCCAAGTGAGGCCCGGAGTCTGGCAAATACACACGCGTGCATTCGTGTGAAAAAATAAATGTGTGAAAAAATAAATAATAATAGGGGGGGGTTTACCTTTTCTCACAATAAAACAGGTGTTGAGATCCATAATAGAGGTTTTTTTGGGTTGGATCGCGTAAATATATAAATGTGTCGTTAAAACCCGCCACCACCCGACACAGCCAACTAGTAAGGGTTGTCACGTAAACAGAACGTGGCCAATTTGTCATGTTCGTCATGTTCTGTTTACGTGGTCGCAAGAGTGTTAAACACCAAATAGAAACCCTTTTGCAAGGAATATATGTCTGCATTGAGCACACGTACTTGTGGTGAACATGCAGACAAACACATGCTCTGGTAATATATGACATTGTCTTGGAAATTGATTGGCCTACATCAGAGACAGCCTTCTTTAGGGCCTAGTCTTCGCCACCAGTGTCAGAGCAGAGAACAACGCCAAAATAGCGAACAGTCAGAAAGGATAAAACCTCTTCTTATTTATTCATACTTTTCATACCATGTGCATTTGTGTGTAGGTAACGTACGTACGCGCGCAGACACACGAAGATCCACCGCTCACACCCCCCCCCCCCCCCCCGCCCGCTCTTAAACCATATCGATTGAAAAACTCATTTCTTCAGAGATGATTTTTGCGTTTAGTTTGGTGTCCTTCCCCCAGCACCTCTGATTAGCACTGTTGGCTATGTACGGTGTGCGAATAAATTAAACATACAGTCCCCTTGAACAGACTGTCAAGGCCAGTGCAGTTAGCGAGCACCTATTAAGGTCAATACGGCCACACAAGGTGGCCAGTTGCATGTCTCTTGGCTGCCTTGTGTCTCCACACACCCAAATTCCTGTGACTACTCACACGAGCGTGCCATACGTGGACACGTATTTATACTGCGCAGTGCACACCCACTTACTGTGGGCATTCATATAGATGCACACACGTGTACGCTCGCACTCGTATGCTCTCATTCACATGAAAATGCGCGGTTCATCACCCCCATGCACAGTTTGATACGCGAGTGCATCATTTGCTGGAAATACAGCTTCCTGACTTACTCTCACCCTCATTGCTAATGCACCAATTGCCCCTCTGTGTGTCCGTACGTGCGGTTTTATTTGACACGGAATGTGTACGTTTATATCTCCCCCTACATACACCAACTTAATCTCACTGCCACACCCCGCACATACTTGTCCGTGCGCTTACACCCACACACACACCCACCCACTCCCACTCACACCCACTCCCACACCCACCCACCCACTCCCACACCTACACCCACCCACTCACACACCCACTCACACACCCACCCACACCCACCCACTCACAACCCACCCACTAACACACCCACCTACTCACCCACCTACTCACCCACCCACTGACACACCCACCCACACCCACCCACTCACCCACCCACAACCCACCCACACACACCCACCTACACACACACCCACCCACCCACTCGCACACCCACAACCCACCCACAACCCACCCACAACCCACCCACACCCACACCCACCCACACCCACCCACGGCTACCGATTGCACTGCAAGGTACAAGGGCAAGAGCTACCGCGCCACCGTGGAGCTGGTGCACTCGGCGGAGAAGGTGGCGGAGTTCTGCCGCTGGGTGTGCGTCCGCCTCGAGTGCTGCCCCGTGCTCTTCGGCCCCACCGCCGTGTCGGACGTCTGCCCCGAGCGGTGCTCCAACCTCACCAAGACCCGATACAGTGAGCCCCATACCCTCCCTTCCCTCCCCAGCCCACCCCTCCCCACCCCTCCCCTACCCTCCCCACCCCTCCCCTCGCCGGCCCACCCCTCCCCACCCCTCCCCCTCCTCCCCTCCCTTCCCTCTCCACCCCTCCCCTACCCTGCCCTCCCCTCCCCAGCCAAGCCCTTCGCCTCCCCTCCCCACCCCTCCCCTCCCCTCCCCAGACCACCTCTCCCCACCCCTCCCCTACCCTACCCAGCCCACCCCTCCCCTCCCCAGCCCACCTCTCCCCACCCCTCCCCTACCCACCCTACCCTCCCCACCCCTCCCTTCTCTCCCCACCCCTCGCCTCCCTCCGTGATCACAGTCCCCAGGAAGATACTCCTCTCGTCAATTAGCATAAACCATCACGCAAACTCCGGTCATCCTCGCAGGAGCGGCTTTTGGCTGGCCACCAAACAAAGACGGTCACCGCATCGCGCGCTGTCTGGAACGTTCTTCATTCTGATATTAGCAAGCCACTAGAGCTATGCACTTTAAAATCTGGATTGAAAACTAATTTCTTTATAACTGTTTTTTTTTGTGTTCCGTTTGTTTTCCTTCCCCTGCACCTCCGATTTGCATGGTTGGCTACATCCGGTGCAAAAGTTCCACATCAACAAAGTGGCTTCTCACGTGGAAATTCATAGCAACCAAATACTCTAAATGTATGTTGGTAAATGTGGAGGAAAAAAACCCGGAAAACCCTGGAGAAAAATCCACGTGACCACGGGGAGAGAGAGAGAGACACGCAAACTCCAAATATATAAGTGTAAGGGTCAGGATGGAACCTACGTCCTCCTGTATACCAGGAGAGGTAGTTAACATCTCACCTCACCGATGCCCATTAGCCCCTCCCCACCCTGTTGTGGAGGACGGTCGGCAGAAGCTAATGCTGTTTAGTCACAGGTAGCTGACTGGATTCGTACCCAGGATCTCAGCGGTGCCGGCTCTGCGCTCTGACCTCTGACCTACCCAGCAGCCTCCTCCTCCGCTGCCCACTTCTAATCTTGGCACATTCTCTCATCCGTGCCGCGCGCGACTGTCTTTCTGCGGAAGTGAACATTTTTCTTCGCTCTTTCTTTCCTGGCACAGCCAGGCTTTTGGAACGCCCCTTCCTTCATCTGTCTTGCCTGCGTCATGTGGTCTGATTAAATTAAAGAAAAGAGGAAAAATCGATTGCGTGACAGCCAGTGTGTGCCAGAGGGGGCAGCACGCTGACCATCAATAACAACAACCTGTCGAGCCGGACAGCCACCCATTACTTTCATCGTCAAATAAATTATAATTAAAAGCAGATACCGCATTGGCCGTGGTGCAGCCAATGATGCTGTCACCTCTCACCGACTACCCTTACTCTGGAGCTGTCTGTTGCTGCCACTGTCTTGTGATAGCACAGAGCCTCTGTCTATTAACACTTCTTCACAAACAAGAATTATATATAACCATTTGCTAGAAGTACAGCAAGTTGCTTGCTGATCTGTTCATGGCCAACACCAGTGACGATTATCTGAACCGGTCCTGGGCCTCCCCTAAGTCGACCCAGCCTCAAATGAGTACCTGGCGTGATTGGGTAAACATCGCTGTCCCCGGCATGGTGCTGGCCACACCATCCGCCCCTCGTTTGCCGTGCCGAACTTCCATAGGTGCTCGCTGACAGCACTTGACGCGACGGTCTGTTAAGAATCTTTCTCATTGTTCTCTTTCACCTCTGCCCTCCTGCCATGGCAACGCCTAGCGCACTATTATGGCAAGAAGAAGGGCAAGCATGCGGCGGCAGCGCCGCTGTGCGCGGAGGAGGAGACGGGGGCGCCCGGGAAGACCCGGGAGACGCGCGGACGGCGCAGGGGAACGCGGAAGGCACGGACATCCATAGACAGCACCCCCGCCGGGTCCCCACAGGTAACTGCCTAGGCCACAACCTCCTCCACCACCACCACCACCGTAACCACCACTACCGCCACGGTTGTCACCACCGCCACCAACGCCATCACCATCGTCACCACCGTCACCACCGTCACCACCGCTATCTCCGCCTTCGTCCACATTTGTCGGGTTGGTTCTCCTCCAACGGTCAGATGTGTAATCGGTCTACCGGGGTTCAGACTTATCCTCGGTCACGTTGTGTTATCAGTAGTCAGAGTCTGAACAAAGCAGGGGTCAGTACTTCCAAAGGTCAGCCCTAGTGTTAATTTAGTCAGGATTTGAGTTTATTTTGTCTTAGTCTAGTCGATGACAGCCCGCGCAATGTTTATCAAGTCACGGTGTTTGGGTTTCATCAAGTGATTATCTCAGTCTTGTCCAGGGGTCGAAAAGCAAGATAACAAGAAGAGACAACTTTTTTTGAATTCGGTAAAAAAAAACTCAATACTTCTAGAGCCGCAATACACTGTGTGGTGTATCCGAAATGGTGGTCCTTCATAAACAACGCGTCACGAAGCTGTCCCTGAAGAGCCACACGTGGCTACGGAGCTACAGGTTGCCAACCCCTGGTCTAGTTGATGGAAGCTGTCAAAAAGTTATTCGACCTTTTTCGTTGGTAAATTGTTTAGTCTTCAGTGCACTGCAGCCTCTGATCATGTCACTCAATGATCTCGGTCTGCATCTCTAGTCGGGCTCGTTAACTTAGTCTCGTAACGGCCACTCGGTGCTTTTGTCTTCCGCGCTTGGCCGCATCCATCGCCACGCTTGGTGATGTTTGTCCGCTCGGGAGCACTCCCCCGCCACTCATCACGTTCACTCAACCAACGCCGGGGTGGGAGGGGGTTGGCCTTGAGTCGTTCCGTTCCTCCGCCTCTCTCCGCAGAACAGCGTCGACTTGGACGACGACGTCGATGAAGAGGAGGAAGAGGACGATGACGACGACACGATAGAGACGGCGAGCAGCGAGACGTCGAGCCTGGCGGCGCGACCCCGCACGCCCGACGACCCACCCCGGCGGGTGCCGCCCCTGCGCATCAACACGCGGCCCCAGATCCCCACGCTCGTTGCGCCGCCCCCGCTCCAGCGCTTGCTCCGGAAACGGAAGGGCTCGCGTAGCGGCTCCGGGTCCGGCTCCGGCTCCGGCTCCGGTCCCGGCTCCGGTAACGGCTCCGGCCCCGCCGAGGCAGCGGCAGCCGCCACCACTTCGCCGCTGGACGAGAACGAAGAGGAGCACGGCAAGCGCGGGAAGCGGTCGGCCCTCGACAAGGAGGAGGAGGAGGCGGCATCACGAGCGGCGGCGGGGAAGAGATCGGAAGCCGGCTTCCGGCTGGAGAGCAACCCCCTGAAGTGGAGCGTGGCGGACGTCGTGAGGTTCATCCGCTCCACTGACTGCGCGCCGCTCGCCAAGGTCTTCCACGAGCAGGTGCCCCCCCCACTCCCCCCCCCCCCCAATACTTCCTCGCCAGGGTGGGGGGGGGGGGGGGGTTTGCTTCGTCTCCTCCGGCATGGCGGGACGTGGCGTGTGTTGTGCCGGGGAGGGAGAACGTCAGCGGTTATCTACGCTCGGCCTGTTGAGAAAAGTTAGCGGGGTTGCTGCTCTGGCAGGAGGCGTCAGCGTCGTGACTGAGGGGCGAGGGCCAACGGGCGGGATTAATGACGGGAGTGGCAGCCGAGGAACGGAGTGGATCCCAGGGGTCATCCAGTGGGGACGCTGGAGCAAGGGAATTAGCTCGTGCGCAGGCCCTCGGTGGATTCGCACGTCGCAGGATCCTGAGGCATTGCGACGACATCGGGAGGCCTTCATCCAGCAGTGCATTGATCATGGCAGATTATTCGATCCATTGTTTTGTGTTTTGAGGATTGTGCTTGTCTTATCTTCGTATATATATCTCATCTCGTCTCCTCCCTGTGTATCTGTTCTTGCGAATGCATTGGTGGGGCCTCTTTTCCATGAGCTGGACCAACCACAACCCATCCACCCCCCATGCAGTCACCTCTCTCTCTCCAGTATTTAATCTCTTGTCTCTTTCACACACAGGAGATCGACGGCCAAGCGCTGCTACTGCTGACCCTCCCCACCGTGCAGGAGTGCATGGACCTCAAGCTGGGCCCTGCCATCAAGCTCTGCCACCACGTGGAGCAGGTGAAAGCGGCCTTCTACCACACGTACGCCAACTGAGCCCGCCCCGGGCCGGCACGTGGCACGTGGCACGTGGCACGTGGCACGGCGCATCGTTGCGGTGGAGCCAAAGTCACGACAAGCCGGATTACCGACGCGCAGGAGAACGTTGCCGTGGATTAATTTGCAGGGCGAAGACAGAAGCTCTCATTCGGGAGAGCGCGTGGATTCAAAGCGTTGCGCCGATTACGACGTGGAGGTGGAGGACTGGATGCGTTCGGTTTGATACGTGCGCCCAACCGGGACGCTCGCGGAGGACTTGCTCACTTGGCCGACGTGAAATTCGACAATCGAGAAGCGTTGGGTGGAAACACGCGGATTCGGCGAACGGCCCCGGTGGAGGGCGCTCATGCGTGTGGAAATGGACGTGGAAGTGAACGCGGCTCGGGAATCCAAGCGGATGAGCGGCCTGCGTGGAAGATGCCTGGGAAGGAGGACCATGTGGATGAGTGTAATGTGGGAAGTGACCGGCGGGCGGGGAACAATACTTGGATTAGGCGACCGAGCGGAGCGGCGAGCGAGCGTGGAAGAGACACGGAGTCGGCGCTTGCCGTTTCACGTCACAGGTGACAGATTGTGCCCTCGAGAGAGAGACTCTGCGGATTTATATTCGCCGCGAAAAGATAACATTTATTTACAAGAAAGGCCCGCCTGATGTTTATGTCGAGACTCATTTAGCAACATCTTTTTATTTTATGGCTTGGAGTTGTGTGGTTTTTTTTATAATGAAGTTTTATTTGCGGTCGGTAATTTATATTTTTTTGAGCTGTCGTTGGAAAATGGCAATTTGATCGGTTAAATTCAAGATTCAACCACGTGGAATGTATTTCCCAAGCTTTAGCGCATATTCGAGAAACGCACGTGCACATTGCTCTGTCTCTCATTGTCTATTTCCCCCCCCCGCCCTCCCTGAAAACTCCCTCTTGATCGGAGGCAGGCCACGCGTAACACAATGCACATGCCTCTTGTGTGTTGCATATCCGTCGATGAATGTTCTGTTCAGGCGTTAGCCCTGGGAATGTGTACTGCCCGCACGGTCGTCGCCAGGAGGAGAGTCGTTTTACATCGGGTCAGATCTTCTGCCGATATTCCCCGAAGCTCACGGTCAAAAGTTTTTAATTGAGCAATTTGCATTCGGCCGGTGGACAAGCGATTTTTATAATTCTATGAATTTTTTTTTAGCGTCAAAAAGTTTATTTTAAAGTCGTAAATTAATTTGCTGGGTGTTGAGGCCAACGCCCCGTCTCGTGGATCTTTTAACCAAAGTATTGTCTTTTTATGTGGGGCATATATATGCCTGTGATGGAACTGAAGTGTGTGTGTGTGCACGTGTGCACGTTTATATGAATGTACGTTGTCTTAAACCCTGTTGTAATAAACCTACATGTAATCCCCCCTCCCCCTCCCTCCCAGTACTGTATATGTGTACACAATCAGCAATGTACTCTTCCTGATATAACACCGAATGTTGTGGCGCTCTGACATGTTTTCGCGTCACGCCCTACTGCGTGTCGTTTGGGGCGATGTCCGACGTTTCGCCACACTTGCTGGGAGCTTCTCGGCGAGCCGAATTTGGTTCCTCGTGTGGCGTGTGGTGTGAAACGTCGGACAATGTGGGGCAAACCCCGTAAACGCTTCGGAGAGCTATTACGGCACAACCGCGAACAACGACACGGTCGTGCTGAACGTTATGACCAGAAGTGGATGCGATTCGTAATTGGTTTTTTTCGGGGTTAGGTCGTGTGTCAAAATGTGTGTTGTTATACCCTCTACCACGTGACACAAGATGGCCAAGCAATAAAAGTGTCACTTGAATCGGACGTGCTTGGATCTCGAGTGAACAACCCGATGATGCTGGTTGTTACTCTCAAAAACAACAACAGCCGCTTCGACAACCACCGCTGGTGGTGGTGATGATGACGCGGTATTACACGTGGCTGTGTTTGATTCACGCGACACTTATGATTGCTTGCGTCGGGTGGAGGAGAGCATACGACACACTCTACCCCCCGACGACCCAACCCAAAAGAAACCAATCATGAATCATGATGTTTGGTTGTGAAAGCCTACGTAAGAAATTAACAAGTTGATGTGTTTGCACTATCGTAACTGTATCCTCTCTCATCACTCTGCTTAAGGACCCCCCCTCCACCAACCCCTCCCCCCCCAAAAAAAATATATTGAAAAGCTCTTGTAGTTTTAAACGTGGGCACTCTCCAACACACGTTTTAAGCTTTGCCAACAAAAAAAATATATACTTTAAATTTACAAATCGCTGAACCACTGTGGACTTTCTGAAAAAAAAATGCCAGTGATGGTCAAACAAAAAAAACCCACCTGGGCTAATATTTTTAATCCAACGCTTTGTTTATTTGCAAAAGTTCACGCACACTTTCGACCGTGGCCATTATGGACTTAGTGTAGATATGTGAAGGGTTGTTATCAAATTATCCAGCGTGTAGCAGCATTAGTCATTTGACCACCATTTGTTTCCCTTTAAATACGGAGCCTCCTCATACAAAGGGCATGTGCTAATGGTATTCCTGTCCCGCAAGTTGCATTCGTGATGGAGTTCCCTGCTGCACGTGTGTGGACATTGCACATGGCGATCGTCGTTATTATTGAGTATTTGTCCGGACCATGCTGGCACAGCTTCCCACGCGGTAATGAGTTGCTGACCTTCCATTTAAGCAAGCCTCTCTCTCTCTCTCTCTGATTTATTACAGGTCATTCTTATTACTGTACATTCGCACCAGAGGTAAAGCAAAAAATGTGGTTTTGAATGGAATGGACATGTACCAGAAGAAAAAAAGAAACTCGCATAACCAGATATTTGTTTATTTCCTTGCAAATATTCCTGCCGTTGCTCTCACCAAATCTGTTCGGTTAGCATTGGACTTCTCTGTGATAGCTGGTCGTGATGATGAAACCGATACATTTTTTTTTTTAAACACGCTTCCTTATAACGAATCGCATTTGTAACGCAGGACGTGTTCTGTTTATAACCCGACGCAATTTTTATTTTTTATATCCCACGTTAAATTGTGCAGCAGCAGCAGGGAGAAACGTGGGGAGAACTAGATGGCACTATTACAGGTAAATATGTATGCTTTGTATTAAACGATGATCTGGGGGGGGGGGGGGGGGCACCTGTAATTTAAATAAATTTGGAAATCAAAACCACGTGGCTCAAAGTTAATCGGCGTAGGTTTCGTGTTCGCAATATCACGGTCAATCTGTCGTTATCCGTTTCCGCAACCGCCTTGTTGTTTACGTGAAGAATCGGTGTGCATCGGCTGCTTCGTGGTTCGCTTGTGGGCCGACGCGTTCGCTTGCAAGATCCCCGACGGCTTGAATCCCAGTGTCTTTGGGTACCGGTTCACATTATCCACGCAACGGTGTTGTTAATGAGTTTTTTTTATTGATTATTCCGCTAACAGCGTTCGCGAGATTCGCTGCAGTCACTCACTGGCAATCGGGCACCTTATCACCTTTATATCGGTACTATAATGGTCACTCTTCCGGTGAACTTCCACTCATTGGTTAATACACCCATGTTGAGAGGACTCGGCCTAGCAGACTGATTGTTTCGTCTCATCTCATACAGTGTTCAACCACCACTGCAGATCACAACACTCACCCACTCACTCATCCACAGTGTTCAACCACCACACTGGAGATCACAACACTCACCCACTCACTCATCCACACGGTGTTCAACCACCACACTGCAGATCACAACACTCACCCACTCACTCTGTCCACACAGTGTTCAACCACCACACTGTAGATCACAACACTCACCCACTCACTCTGTCCACACAGTGTTCAACTACCCCACTGCAGATCACAACACTCACCCACTCACTCGTCCACACAGTGTTCAACATCGACAGTGCTGTTTGTGGCTGCCGACTTCACTTTTTCCTCCATGGGGCCTTTTGCTTAGCAACTGCGGTTTGTTTTTTTACACGAGACGGCACACGGGAGTCGAATTGTGCGTGTATGAATCATTTGTGTACAAATAATGCAAATAACATGCTGATCTTGTCATATGGCATGGTGTAGCGAATGAGTGCGAATCAATGACGAATATAATCATGGTACCTCGAGGTGCACTGCATGGGTGGTGGATGCTATGTAAATGTCAAATGATGATGTGGGGACAAAATACCAACGAGATTGTCAAAATGACACGAGGTCTTATTGACTCAAATGACGGACGCAGTTAATGAAGTTGCAAATGTCCATGGATGGATGGTGACCTGTGGAATGAACGCGCGCCGCTCTTCGTTAGAAGCGCAGTGAACGCATGGGGAGGATGATACCACGAGGTCTCGCAAGGAAGGAAGGCGGTCGTTTTACTACGTCAGGACCCAGAAGACACTTTTTTAAAAAAATCACAACTTCCAAAAGTATAATTTGATCGTGAACGACATTCCCATCGACAACAACAAAAATCAACCGAGGTGAAATTATTTGTCTAACGGCAATCATTTGATCACGTGAACATAACAGTACGTGTGTTAAACTTCTTTCGCACCGTGCGCAGCCAACCGTGCCAATCCGGAGGTGTGGGCAAACGATGCGTGCTCGTAGGGGCAGAACTTCGAAAGCGAGGCTGTGGACTTACCACGTGTTTTTAGACTCTCACACCTGCGAGGCGGAAAGGTGAGCAGAAGATGGCAGGAAGGAGATTGTGTTCACGAACCCATCTGTGTGGATTTTACAGCGGTGTCATTTTCTCGCTTGCCGCGATGGGCTTTCCCGAAACACTCCAGTTTTTTTTCTTATCCCACGTAGAAAATGAGAAAACAAATCGAAAATGAATTAACTCTGTGCGTTAACGTCGCGTAGTTAAAGTGATTGCGTTTCCAGCCCCCTTGTCGGTCCACGTGGGGGAGGGGCGGGGGGCTTTGCACAGCGGTGAATTTTGATGGGAGAGCTGCAATTCAGTTTGGCGTACACAGCCACACGGCACGCCCGTTTGTGACGTGGACCAATATCAACGAGTACATCGTGTGCGAGATTAACTACGTTGCCTAGCAAATGATGCGAACCCCCGCTGGGTTCATTGGTCTCATCGGTTAGGCGAGCAAAGTTGGGCAGCGCGTTTACTTATACGTGGGGGAAAAGTTTCCTCGAAAATGTTTTATTTCGTCGTCGGTGGATGTTGCTCATTTGCACACTTAAAACTCAAACATTAGTGACTTAAAGCTTTCGTGACTGCAGGAATTCATATTCTTTGGGTCTTTCGGTAAAGTCACGTAGATAGAAAAAATATTATTTTCTTTGAACCATCTACGTGACTTTACCGAAAGACCCAAAGAATATAAAAAAATTAGCTTTTTTATTTTACCAGGTAAGGCCCCTACTGAGCTATCCAGCTCTTTTTTCAGAAGCGACCTTGGCCATCACGAATGATAGCTCAACGAAGTTGGCTCATCGCGTGGAAATGTATCGCAGCCAAATCCTCTAAAACGCGCACCGTTGATTCTAAACGCGGAGGGAGAAAAAACCCAGAGGACCCGGAGAAAAATCCACGCGGCTTTTTAAAAGTGCCCGCTGGCTGCGCACGGTTCGACGGGGTTATTATATTCGGTCGGGGTTCCTTCGAACGCCTTTCACATTTTATTCCATTTTGTTAAAGACCGTGTCTCCGAGTTAGTTTTGTTTTTTGTATCCCCCGCACGGACGGGGGGATGTGTTCACGACGTGCCGTGCAGCTCGTCGCGTCCAGCAGCAACGCGCGTTCATTCCACGGCACCAGCTCGGCGTGCCTGCGGGCACACACTCGCCCGTGAAGAGGCGACGTCGCTCGCTGGCCATGCTGATGATCATTAACGCACGCGCGGGGTCTGGTCTTCGGTGGCCCGAACCTCCTACATACAGATTTTATTAGATATATTTGCGTAGCGCCTTATTCCAAGGTGCTTTACAGAAATTCTGATATTGCACATAAGACGATCGTGGTTGAGATAGAGTGGGGTTATTGTTAAAAGTGGTGTGTGGTTGTGGTGACAAGAGAGCAGGCGGGAGTGGTTAAGGAGGGGTCGTATGTATGATGAACTTCTTTTGCACCGTGCGTAGGCAACCGTGCGAGACGCAGGTGCGGGAAAGTGATCCGAGTTGGGATTGGGGTCGTGGGATGGGTTGTGAGAGGGGTAGGGTTCGTGGTAGGGGTAGTGCTAGGGGTAGTGATTGGTAGGGTAGTGAGAGGGGTAGGGGCAGTGGTAGGGGCAATGCTAGCGGTAGTGTTAGTGGGGTTAGGCCTGGTCGTAGCTGGGAGGCGGGGGCAGGGAGTAAGCAGTTGATGGGATAGAGGGAGACGAGATGATAATTGATGCACTGCGCTCGTGTGTGTGTGTGAGACAATCACTCTTATCAGCGCTAACGTTCGCTTTCTCTTCCCTCCCCCTCCCAAAGGCTTCCATCTCTCATCGCCCCTGCTCTGCTTGGTCACAGTGGCTTTGTCTTTGTCAAATCAATTTTGCAGCCGCAGCAGCGCATGCCAAACTTAGCGCTCTTTTCAGAGGTGTGCGCTGTGACTGTTGATGCATCTCCTGGCCCCACAAATCCATCATCATCAGCGGGCCTTGGTCAATCTACTGCTGGATGAAGGCCTCCTCAAGCAGCGACCATCTATCACGATCCCGCGATGTCACAATCCATCTAACGCATGCACGCGCTCTGAATTCATCACTCCATCTCCTCCACGGCGGTGCATGCCTGTGTTACATCGCATCGCATTGTGCATGCGCATGTTGGTGGGTCACGTCGGTTTGTGAAGCTCCCAAATTATCTGGGACGTGAAGCGGCCAGGAGTTGGCAGTACAGCAAGTGGGTTTAGTTGTCCTTCCACCGCACCTCCGATAAGCACTGTTGGCTACGTACGGTGCCAAAGAAGTTTTACACGCATATATCTTCTTGGTTCTTTCGGTAAAGTCACGTAGAATGGAAATAATAAAATAATAAAAATAAGACATAATAAAATAATTCTCACGAAGTTTCGGCCACAACGCAAGCAGCCGTCCTCAGGTGAAGACAGAGTCAGACTCTGTTCTTCACCTGAGGACGGCTGCTTGCGTTGCCTGGTGTGGACCAATCAGTTTCAAAGACAATGCATCTACTGACAGAGCATGTTGTTTTGTTTTGCATGTTCACCACAAGTATATGATGTGTAATTTTCGATTGAAAGCTTTCGTGACTGCAGGGATTCATCTTCTTGGTTCTTTCGGTAAAGTCACGTAGAATGGAAATAATAAAATAATACAAATAAAACATGATAAAATAATTCTCACGACGTTTCGGCCACAACTTGACTCTGTCTTCACCTGAGGACGGCTGCTTGCGTTGTGGCCGAAACGTCGTGAGAATCATTTTATTATGTTTTATTTTTATTATTTAATTATTTCCATTCTACGTGACTTTACCGAGAGAACCAAGAAGATGAATCCCTGCAGTCACGAAAGCTTTCAATCGAAAATTACACATCATATACTTGTGGTGAACATGCAAAACAAAACAACATGCTCTGTCAGGAGATGCATTGTCTTTGAAACTGATTGGTCCACACCAGACGGCTTCCTTTAGGCTTTAGCGCCTCGTCTACAGCAGTGTTTTCTTGATTTGCATGTTCACCACGAGTACGTGTGGTTCATGCAGACAGGATTCCTTGTAAAAGGTTTCTGTTTGGTGTTTTAACCTCTAAACACCATCTGTTTTATTGCCAGAAAGGGTCAAACATATTCTTATATTTACACACACACACATTGGCTACTGCATTCTGATGAGCCCCCCCCCTCTCCTCCCCCCT